GAATTTCATAGCAGCACAAAAGCTCGCTGATAAATATTCTGTAAGTGAAGAGCACGCTAGCAGCGATCTAGTTTCCTTAGAATATTCCGAGCATATGCTTTTAAATAAAGTTGCGCGTCTCTTCAAGACATCGCGCAATGTCGTCAAGGAGACTGTGAGCAACGCAAACTTCTCTAAGCTTATAATTGCATTGGATAGCGTGCTCTGTGTGCAGCTGGAACGTTGTGATGAGTTGCGCGCGCTCAGTGTCGATCGCTCTAAGGAGCGTCCGAAACAGCTGCTGGAAGCCAAACAAATATTGCAACAAAAGCGAAAAGGACTAACTGATCTATTTAAGACGCTTACACAACTCGGCCTTAGCTTTAAAGCCGGTCTAATGGAGTTGTCCTTGCGCACAGACTTCACAGAATTCACATTGCCCCCGTTCTGCATTAAAACAATGCTCGGCGCACGCACCGATAAACGTTTGCACACCAACGTGCTGCACTTGAACGAGAACCTCGATCGTTACTACGCCAAATGTGAGTTCAAGCTGAGGCTACTGCAAAACATTATGCTGGCGCCACCCTCCGAGCTGGGCCCACCCAACATTGAGCGCATCAAAGGCTTTGCCGTCGACATGTTTCTGCTAGTGCAAAGTCAGAGGCGTCAACTCGCAAACACCAGTAAGCAAATTTACGACCTGGATGTGCTGATACAGCACATTAAAGAGATCTACGACGTCTGTTGCATTGGCGATTCGGCGAATGCCGTGGATGGGCTTGCATTCAGTGCCGCTCGCGATAATTACCTGGCGTTGCGTGAGTCTATATCACGTATGCGCTACGTAATGGAGCAGTTCATCTTGCTTTTGGCATGTGCGCCATCTAGCGCTACCGTTGAACATGCAGTGCTAATGAAAAGTGAAAACAACTTGTTGCAGAACTCTCCTTTCTACACAACAATCACGAGCAACTGTCATGAGGTGCTCAAAACCGCAAAGTCCACACTTGCCGATATGCTCAACCATGACAAGGAGTTCCTGAGCATAGAGAAAGTTACAGCCTACCGGGCTACGCATGAGAAACTGTGCCACATACTACAACAAATTGTGAACGATTTGAGAACAGCCACAGGCGAATCACTGCCCGCTGCGAAACCGATCGTGGAGCTGCTTGCTTTCGTGGAATCGTGTAGCAAACGTTTCTCAATACCCACGAACGACAATGCGCCTACAGATTTAGAAAATTTTGACGCCATTCTTGAACATATACTACATGACGTACTACTGTCTTTGCAGAAACTTTATAAGAAATACACGCAGACAATTAGCGAAGCGTCCGGGGAGTCGCTGTCGCCCAACAGATCACACGATGAACTCGAGTTGCAAGAAAAACACTTAAAGCAGCAATTGTGCGCGGCGCTCGAGTCTGACTGGCAGGCATTGAATATTACCAATATTGTCGAGCATCTGTCAAATGTGCTGGTTACGTTGAAACACACCACACCGAGTCAATCGAAATTGGCTTGTGCTCGCAAACTTACCACACTTCTGCCAATCATGGAGCAGTACTACTTGTTGGCCGACTACTATCTCTTCCAGCAGCTGGGCGCGCACAAGGTTTCGGCGAAGATGCTTTCAGTCATGCTGACAGTGTTTGTTGAGATTGGCAGTAAAGGATTCTGCGTGCCACCCGATCTGATGCAAGATGAGGAGGGTCAAGCTAAGGATCAAAAAGATGGCGAAGGTTTTGGTTTGGAAGATGGTACTGGAGAAAAAGACGCCACAGACAAAATTGAGTCGGAAGATCAGCTGGATGACGCGAAACGCCCAGAAGACCGCAAGGAAGAAGAAGGCAAACAGCCAGAGGACTGCAAACAGGACAAGAGCATCGATGTAAGTGAAGATTTTGATGCCAATGCGCAAGATTTGGAGAAGCCAGAAGATGACGATAGTGGTGAGTCGGAGGACGATGATGAATTGGATAAAGAAATGGGTGAGACTGGCGCGGAGGCTGATAAGTTGGACGAACAAATTTGGGGCGATGACGAAGAGCAGAAAGAAGAGGAGGATGAAGAGAATGAACAAGAAGAAGATCAGGGAAAAGGTACAAAAGATGAAAAGGACACTCACAACGATCTGGGCCCGAAGAATGATGCGCCCAATGAAAATGATGAAGAAAATGAGGGACTAGATGCGACTAATGAAACAACGAATGAGAAACGCAAGCAACAAGAGAAAGATATTGACAATATGAAGGAGCCTGAGGTGGAGGACGATCAAGCCAACCCGTACCACAATGAATTAGAAGAACCACCAGAGCCAGAAGAAATGGATTTGGGTGATATGAACATGGATAATGATCAGGAGGAGGGTGATGACGAGCGAGAGGGTGAAGAAAATCCCTTCGATATTGATACAATGAAGGAGAACATGGAAATAACAGAAGATCAGACCAAAGAGGATGAGACTAAAGAAGAAAACGGAGATGACAACGAAACCAAATCAGACGATAGTGACTCGGAAGATGGCGATGGCGACGTCGAGCTACGCAAGGAAGAGAAGGGTGATGAAGAGAAGCAGGAAGAAGACGCTAAAGAGGAAGAGGAGACTGAGCCAGACACACAGACACGTGGCGAACCGGAGCCTGAAACCAATGCAGATGAAAAACAGGAAGAAAATGAGGAAGCGCACGCCGAGAAGCCGGAAGAATATGAGCAGTCCAAAGACAAAATGAGTAAAGAGGACAATGTGCAATCAGTGCCAGAAACCGAAAATGACGGTACTCCGGATCAGGTGGAAAACGAAAATGACCAAAATGTGAAGCAAGATCAAAAGTTGGACGAACAAGAGACCGGCGAAGAGAAAGATGGCGTGGGTCAGGCAGAAAATGATGTAAGTATAATGAAAATTATAGGAAGTAGAGTTCTTATTTAAATTTCTGCAATGTTTAACAGACAAATGAAGGCGGTCACCAAGGCATTGCTGAGACTAAAGAAAAAGTAGCACAGGACGAAAGCTCGAAGGAACAAAAACCGCAAGAGAAACGTAAACAGGGCAAAACTGATGAAGAACGTACACTAGGTAATTAAGGAAATGAGGTATGCGAAAAGAAATGCAATGATAAAAACTTGTATTCATAGGTGAGGCGGAGAAAAATAAGCTGAAACAGTTGAAGACAATAGATAAAATGAAAGAGCAAGAACAACAGCCGAAAGAGGACGATCATGAAGATGACAAAGAAGCAGATGCAGATGAATTCCAGCACGTAAAGGACGCCAAGAACAACGATAAGACAACATTAGACAATGCCACAGAAGAGCAATCAAAGAAGATCAAGCAAAAAGAAGACGAAGAGAAAGCGGACGTTGAAAATGAAAATGCAGAGAATAATGAGATCCTAGATGAGGAAGAACAGACTGATAAGCAGGACGGTAACGAGCAAACTCTCGAAGAGTTAAGTGCGGAGAAGTTTGATCAGAAATCGGACAAACCATCAAAGACGGAACGCAATAAAGAACACACAGAAGAAAAATTAGAAATGGAAGTCGAAGGCGAAGACGTGCCCACCATGACGGTGCCGCGAAATGACGATACAACGGCACACTGCAAGTGCGTATCTAAACTAACTTATGATTTCCTATAACATTAATATTTATTTAAATTTTTGAATTTCAGCAAAGACATACTACTGGAGCACCTAACACGCAGCGAGGAGTTGACCACTGCTGAATTGTTGGAAATGCGGCGGACGTACCAAGAGCAACTAACTGCTAATAAAACAGTAAGTTTTTCTGTGCAAAAAAAAACAAAAGCAGAAATCGTTAACTGAATTTATTATGATAATCCGCTTTAGTCGCTACCAGTACATGAGGATTACGAGACTTGGCAAACAATATCGAATCGTATGGCGCAGAACGCGCGCGAATTGTGTGAGCAGCTGCGACTCATTTTAGAGCCTACTAAATGCACGCGTCTGAAGGGCGACTACCGGACGGGGCGACGAATCAACATGAAGAAAATCATTCCCTATATTGCGTCACAGTTCCGCAAGGACAAAATATGGTTGCGACGCACAAAAGCCGCACAACGTGACTATAAAATAACCATCGCCATCGATGACTCCAAATCCATGCACCATAATAATTCCAAAACACTCACACTCGAAGCAATTTCGCTGGTGTCACAAGCACTGACATTGCTAGAGAGCGGTCGTTTGAGCATTGTGTCCTTCGGCGAGTCATCACAAATCATACTCAACCATACAGAGCAATTCGATGGTCCAAAGTTGGTGAATGCGCTGAATTTTGCACAGGATAAGACGAAAATTGCCGAACTTCTCGATTTCGTGCGTACCGCAAACACAGAGGAGGCTGCACTAGGCACGGATAATGGACTCTTCGAAAATCTATTGCTTGTGCTTAGTGACGGACGCAACATTTTCAGTGAGGGACGTGTCAAGGTATGTCTGACTGCTCGGTAAAATCACAATGTTAAAAAAAAATTAATTTGTGTTGTTGTTTTTCTAGGTGCGAAATGCGATAAAGTTGGCGCGTCTACAGCGAATTTTCTTGGTTTATATAATAATAGATAATCCGGAAAATAAGGTTTGTTTGCTGTACATAATTGGCGCTGAGCACTTAATTATTTTGCACTCTCTTCCAGGACTCCATACTTGACATACAAACTATGGAAATGCTTCCTGACAAACGCATCAACATCAAATCGTACTTGGAAGACTTTCCATTTCCGTATTATGTAATCGTGCGCGACTTAAATCAGCTGCCACTCGTGCTGAGCGAGGCTATGCGTCAATGGTTCGAATTGGTGAACAGCGAAATGTGAGACAGTCAGCTCAGCATAAAGCAAATACATTTATATAACGGCGTATTGAATGGAGTTTACGCATTTCATTTCGTTTTTGAGAATATGTTTAGTAAATTATATACACTGTATTATATAACTGTTAAGTTTTTGCGCAAAAAAAAAAAAAATATATAATAATGAATTAAGTTTATGATTTTCAGATTGTATCAAATAGAAGTATATATTTATGTTTTCATTTGAAACTTCGACGTTAATATGTTTTGCAATACACATGCAAGTACTTATGTTGCACAATTTAAGAAGTGTTTTTGTTTCGCTATCTCGCGAGCAATTAATTAGGAATCATAATATACATTTTTTTATTATGTTAAAATACAATAATTTCTTGCACAAATATATGGAGTTTATATGAAGTTAATTTCTAAATCGAATAGACTCTCAGTCTGGTTTAAACTTTGTCTAAATAGCTGAGCATGCTGCCAAGCAACATCACCCTTACCGCCCGATAATACAGCCTTTATTTCGAATACTGAGGCACCAATAATGTTTGCACTACCGTTATCAGAAGTCACGTGCACTTCGATTTGCCCTTCGCCAAAGGTTTTGCGCTCGAAACGCAAGTTATATGACTCGATTTTCAAACCAGCGCTACTGAAGTCGAATTTCCAAACGATTTCACCTTCTTCTGCCCCTTCTGCAATACCAAAGAATATGCATTAAGCGATAACATCCTTGACAAACATATGCAGATAATATACACCCACCTTCTCGTGCCAAATATGTCATTTTCCAATCGCGCTCCACTTTGCGAAAAATGTTTCTGGAGGAAAATTGTGCACTTTGCCAAGTCTTGTATGTCTGAAGCACCGTTACATCAGAAGTGCCAACTAAGTTGCATTACAATTAGAAGCGAATACAATATGTAACTGTAAGCAGTTTATTTACCTTTCAGATAGCGCTCGTAGATGTCTTTGGCGCAGCTGTAACGCATATTAAACTGCTTGGCAGCTACTTCAGCGTCGGTGGGAGTGAAAACAAATATCTGAAAAGCATAAAAACAAATCGATGTACTTATAAATAAATACACGTATTATTTATAATTCTCGCTTACATTATTGTATGTGTGTTCTCCACGAGACTGACGCCATGCCAAACTGCCAGAGCTGCGGCCCTTCAGTTCACCCTCCGTAGGTTGGCTAAAACAAATTCAAATGATATTATGACACTAAAGTTTGAATAAATGTTTGTGTTTACCGTTGCACGGTCAGTTCAAACAGCTCTAGCATTGCACGTTGGCTCAGAGCTTTAACGCGTTCCGCACTAAGTCCTGCTTGGCGTTTCTTTCGTATTGCTATAATTGTGGCAATCAATTCATTTTCACCACAAAGATGTCGTGTTTTTAGCGTCTGCTTATGATTATTGACATAACGCCATGTCACATCCTGCATATCGTCACAAGAGTAAGCCAGCACATAGTCAATGGGTCGCTTCCAGCCGTGTTGATACATCAGCGGCGAGTCTACCACATTGTCGGAAGGATCTACATGCAACCAGCGTGCTTGGTTTTCTGAATAAACCTAAAAATTATATGCGTTTACGCAAATAGTAGGAGCTTATTCAAAGCAATTTCTTTACTACCTCCGTCCACACATGATCAAAACGCGAATATACAATGCGTGCATCGTATTCCAAACAACGACAGAGAAATGTAAAGCAATTTGCGTATTCACCACAGCGACCTTTACGCGACACTAACAGCTGTGCTACATCATTGTAGCGGTAAAATTTGGTCTCTTGTCCACAACAAAAGCTCACTTCGACGCGTAGATCACCTTCGGTTTGTGTGCGCTGCAGCTTGCTTTCTTCACTGCCACAGACGCGACAAGGCAATTGATTAACCCATTCAAAGAACTCAGTGTTAAACCAGTTGCACAGTTCCACCACCAACAGATCCCTTATGCATGGCTCTTTTTCTTTACATTCACTGGCAACGATCTGTTCTTGAAAAGCAATTAACTTCTCGCTTGCTTTTTGTGTTAATTCATCGATGGGGATGAGCGCACGCCCAGCTGCTAACAACTTATCATCTTCATACTGCATAACCGCATCCGATTGCAGTTCCAATGATTGTAGAAAAGCATTATTTGTTTGCTAGCACAAAAAAGAAACAAACATTTCAAGTAAATGAGCTTAAAAACGAAGCGAAAAATGTTTGAGATAAGCCACTAACCAACACACGTGGAAAAGTAATGCGCTGCTGATAAGAAGTTGTCGTGATAATTGGGCGCAGTGGTTCACTTTGCCCTTGTTCATTTATTAATGAGGCCATATCGTTGCCATTCACTTTTGGGGTTTCCCGCCCAGTCGCAGCTAAAAATAGAAATATGTATATTAAAATAAAAATATGCATGTTTATATAAGCCGTGTTACTTTTATTTGTGTGCGGTGTGCCTTTAAGCCAAGATTCTCGCCTTTCTTGCAAAACGTCCCGATACTGTTGAATGCGTTTTAAAGATACGTCCTGGGACAGCGTATATTCTGTAGCGTTGCGTTGGAAGCCAATTGCATTAAGCAACTGCGAAATGCCTGCCACCGAGAGTAGTTTCTCTTTAATTGTTTTATTCTCGAGACGTATGGTGCGATATTTGGGATTTGTTGGCTCTTTAAGTACATTTTCAATTAAAACGAGTAGAATACGCGTCGCTTCGAGATAAGCATCTGCGGAATTTTCAAATGATTGCGACCGTTGGGTTTGTGTAGCTGAGCTATTGCCATTGGTGGATGAGGTAATTGCAGTAGACGATGTGTTAGAGGTAGATGCTGTGACGGTGACGGGTGTGTTGTTTGCTGCATTGGGTTCGATTGAGCGTATACATTCAAAATTTACTTCAGACATTTCTTTGTTATTATTCGTAGAGGCCGCCACGTTTGGTATGAAGAAGCGTGTAGGCAGACAGTTACCGAAGAGGAGGTGAGTCAGTTAATAGAAGTTCCTAAATTGCGTTGTTTTTCTGAATTTACACTGTCAACTACACTCTATAATTGTGTGGGAAATAAATTAAACAATTAGAATATACTTTTTTAGCGTCGCAATTAGTGAAAGCGCAATTGTTACGTTTTTAATTATACATTTACGGCCAGACGTAGTATTACAACAATAAACAGATAGTGTTTTTATTTGTGAACTGCGACCCGACAGCAAAGCAACCGTCGATAATGGTCAGCTGTTTTTTGTTTTGAACGCTGTTTATTGATTACTGATGATGCTGTCGTATGGTGTAAATGTTTTATGTATGGTGTTGATCAGAAATTTGCCTTGCCGCATTAAACAATACCAGAGAACGTATATCATATACATCATATACGTTCTCTGACAATACTCGAAGAGTTGTAAAGGTGATAGGAATGTAAAAATTATGATTAAACTATAGTCAGATTTAGCATCTCAATTGAACCCGAGACTAAGAGCACTAACCAAAAATATAATTAACATTAATACAGATATGATTTTAGTAATATTTTTTATTTGCTTTATTAAAATTGGATATAACTCTTTAATATTTTTATAAGGACGGAATTGAATACAGTAAATAAATTTTATTCAGCTCAATATTATTGAAAGTTAAATTACCACCTCATAATTTCATAGCGTGTGGCAGCGACAAAAACATAAGACCAGAAAGGCACAAATAGCGAAATGCTATAAAAAAGTGACAGTACAAGTGTTTGTTATGATTATTATTTTTTTGCTCTTTGCTAACAAAGTATTGTAATGTCGTAGTAAAATAATTATTTGATATACGGGTTTATTAATTATTTCAAAGTTAACATAACCCGCTATAATTTATTGAAAACCCGGTCTTTTTACCTGAACAAATTCTCATTGTTATTAAGCAATGTGATTTCTCAAAAAATTTGTATTATCAAGGACGAATTCAGAACAAATTAAGAGAATTCAACTAGTAGTAGTGGGTAAACATTTTTAACTTCAAGCAGAGAAACTTTCCAGATTTTTGAAAGTCATTAATAAGGAAAAGACTTAATAAACAGGCAAATCGACGCTGGTGGAAACAAGTTAAACTAAGTTAAAGGGAACGCTCATGAAAAATGCGTGGAATTGAAGGCAAAGTGGTGGTGCTGGGCTCACGAGGTAAAATATAATATGATTCATTTTGTAACCAAATCTTTGTCAAAACATTTTTCTGATCCACCTTTTTCTATAACCATGATGTTACTGCCTAGTAAGGGTGCAGAAATTTGATAAACACACCTTGAGAGTACATAATTATTGCGTATGTATTGATATGCGCTACAACCACCTGAAGAGGCCACATTGTATATTGTTCCATTTGTCAATCCACATTCCTCATGATTTGCCCCAAATAATAAGCGCTGTGCCTATTTCATATAACTACATACATCTAAACATAAAAGAGACCTTAATGTTGCTGTAGATTTGTCTATTTTATTTCTATTTTTAAATGTAAGCAGATAAAATAATCCGCTTATGTTAATATAGAAAAGAACTACAATACGGCAATACACATTCGCATTTTGTACTTTGATGCTTCACCCAACTATCAGTCATTCTACTTTAGTTACTTATGTACCGGTCTTTTTTTATTTTTGCATGTATTTGTTATAGAATGTATAGCTGATATAAAATAGTTTCTAGTATTTGTTGATAACAAATTATATTTTAGAAAGGTTTAAGCTTTGAAAGCACGACAGAATCGTTGAGCGCAGTAATGAATCATAAAAATCACCATTGAATATGTGCATAAACATATACATATATACTACTTATATCTACATTGTTACATATCGGGGGGTTTTTATAAATCTTCAGTTATTTATATATATGTATATATTCAACGTTGCAGTAATATTTTTGCTCTTAGATATATAAGAGATGAAAATAAAATATTATACTTTTAATATTTACAAGCTATATATAAATTTTCCTCTTTTATTTGCAAGGAGTTGGTAAAACACATCTGATTACAAAATATATAAAAAACACATTGCATAGGGATATTGGTCCAACTATAGCGGCCTCCTTCTTTACTTGCAAAGTGCTCTTGGACGATGTAAAAATCAAATTACAAGTAAGTAGAAAACCATTAGTTTTAAAAATTATCTAACCGTTATATACTTATTTGCTTATAAGCATGTGCGTTGAACTTTTTATGCTGCACATTATTTAAGGCCTTCATAAAATTTAAATAAATCTAGAACTGCAATCTATCGTAATCATCCTACATGCTTAGTCCAAGCAGATTATAGTTGTTATACAATGTCTGAAGCAATCAGGCAAATCGATTTTTATTTTTATTGAGCATTAGTTTTATATAAAATATAGATTAACAATAAGCTAAGTAGCACAACAACACATCTGTATAACTAATACATATTTGTAATTTATACTTTATTCGTACATACATACATACAAATATTATATACTGTGATGATCATATTTTTACTAGTTTTTATTTTTTTCGCAAAATAGCTTGCCTATAATGAATCGTCTACATATCTATATATATGTATATATATATATCAATCAATTGCGACGATGACTTCAGGCATACGTGTGTTGTGTTAGAATAAATTTTCTTGCATACGATCAACAACAGCTAAAAACAATTATATGCATTTTATAAAAAATACATTTCTCACTTCTAGATCTGGGACACAGCTGGGCAGGAGCGTTTCAAAGCCGTCGCACCAATGTATTATCGCAACGCCAATGCAGCTATTTTAGTTTTCGATTTGACGCAACACAAAACATTTGTCGATATCAAAGCGTGGATACAAGAGCTGCATCGCCACGTGCTGGAGCCTATGATACTCACATTGGTCGGCAACAAGTTGGATTTGCTAGCACAGCGCACAGTTACACACGACGAAGCCTACTTGTTTGCCACGTCCATCGGCGCTACTTACTTCGAGGCATCAGCCGAAACGGATCAGGGGCTCGAGCAAGTATTCCTCTCCACCGCACTGGGTCTGGTGCGTTTGGCGGATGAGGGTAAAACTCGTTCACTGCGCCAATTCGATTCGTGTGACTCCATATCAGCCTATACGAACAACAACACCGCTTTAAGCCATACCTGTGCAGCGTTGTCAGCAAAAAACGGCAATGCGGCTTTTCGTTTGCCATACGTAGACATCGGCATACCCGTGGATGGTGATGATGAGCGCAAAGTGACGGGCGTGGGTAGACTTGAGACGCCTTCGTGGAGCATTTCACATATTGCTTTCGGAGAAGAGGAGTCGTCCAGCTGCTGTTGGTAATCTAGATATTAAAAAAAAAAAAAAAATTTTAACGGCGTGTAGCTTTAAAAGGGGCTAACTTTAACAATGTATAGGTGATTTACTCATATATATTCTATATTTGCTGAGTACGAAAAGTATTTTTTAGAAAGCAAAACGTAAAAATGTTTCAAAATGTAAAACTAAAAGCAATTATAATCATAATTAGATTAATGTTATAATATATCTGTAAATAATAAGCAAGCCGTTGGTGGGCGGTAGTTCACTGCGTGAGATCGCAAAAGCAATCGTGACTAAGCTTTAGTTGATAAATTGCGCTACTGCCTACTTTTGTACTGATATTAAATATAAGCGCATTTGTACGAGCCCATGTTGCATGAGGAAGTTTTTTTATTCGAAATCAATTATTTCTAAAACATAATTTATTTTTGTTGAAAACAGTTATTTGAGGAATTGCAGTTGTAGCAATAATTATTTGCTCACTGAAGGCATTAAGACGCTTTGTTATTAGCTTTACTGAAATGTTTAATAAAACATTAACATAATCAAATCAAACACATGTACAAACGACAACAACAGAGTGTGTATTTTAAGAGCACTAACCATCGTCGCAAACAAAAGAGACGTAGATCAAAGACGTTGTATTCTCATATTTGTAAAAAAAAAACAAAAAACAATTATTTATGTAAATATGTAACACTTAGTACATATACACCGGTACTTAGTATATGCAAGGAGAAAACATTGAAGCCAAATAAATAAATATAAAAATCCCATTTTTTTTTGTTTTTTAGGAATATATAAAGTTGAGTAAATTCTACTTTGAGGAAAAGAAAAATTATTTTGTATATTAAGTTTTTGAAATATATTAAACTGGTTTGCCTAGGAAGAGAGCAATATAATATAATATTAATTGTTTTACACGCTTTATGATGATGCAGTTTCATATGTTGGCTGTAACTTATTGTAATTGAACAAAGTGAAATGTATTTTCCGATATCATTTGTTGTTTATTGACACCGAGATTTATTGTCAAATGAAATGAATTTACCACTGTCCACATATGTATTTATTATATTTGTATATACATGTATGTATATACATTTCAAAATAAAGATAAAATAATTTGAAATCAATTACTAAAATTTTCGTTTTAGTGCATAATACTAACTAATTGTTTATTGGTAGTTCAACAAATTCTATGGGGTCAATCACTTCTTTGGTGGTGTGGAAAAAATCACTGGAAGTCTGCGTCTTCAATATACATGTTTTCGTTATAATATTATTTTCTTTGACACGTCTCTAATCTAATAGAGAATAAACTTATATAAATGTCTGATGCCTTTAAGGCTGAGAAAGATCAATCCTCTTGCATTACTTATCGATCCAAACAGGAATAGATCATCGAAATAAGTTAACGCCTATCTCCCTGAACTTTTCCATTTATTCACTGCGAAGCGTCCAAATTTTTCCTTTGCTAAGTCCACAGCGACTATATTTACCAACTTGAATGAATGAATACAGGCTAGACTTCAACATTTTTGTCGATGACGCTAAAATTCCGGCAGTCAATATGTCCCAAAATGTTGGGTGTTACGTTTGATAGTCTGTACTTCTTCATTCCGGACACGATCGCAATCATTATCAAAGTACAGAGCCGCCACAAAATCCTCAAGTAGCTAGCCGGCAGCACCTGGAGGCAAAAAAAGAAACGTCGCTGTTGGGATGTTTTCGCAAAAAGTATGCTTGCAGTAATCTGCTTGGTGCGAAACCGCCCTTTAAGAACAACAAGAGAACGCTCCTACAACACATCGACGAACTACAGTAATATACCGACGCAATTGTTGATGCGACAAACTTTAGGAATGTACTGAACGCCATTTACAGTGAAGCTATTAACTAATTTTCATTGATTTGCTTCCAGTGAATGGCTTCCGTGGAGTTGAAACAGCACCCATCGCAGAGGTTGAGCTCGAATTGAAATGGCCCGCTCGCAACTTCGTTCTGGATACTGTAGTAGGTTAAACTCCTAATTATCCCGAATAGACCCTGACATACTAAACATATGTCCTCTATGCAAAGAGTCTCCGCACGATATTAACCACCACTTTGCATGCCCCGCCAAACTCTTTCACTTAACACCACTTTTCTTTTTGTCTGACCCTGTCGAAACAGCCTGTATCCTAGGCCTACCGCCAAGAGATTACGAGAACAGCTGATTTTGCACTTTTCCCCAAAAAGTGCTTAGGTATTCATTACAACAACAACATGATCAATCCTCTTACCGAAAAAGTTAATTTAGCCTCTTCTACTCCGAAATCATGGGACCATAGAGCAAATAGAAAAGAACGAGCACCAAAATCGATTGAAGTGTGAAGCTTATAAAAAAGTAATAGCCAGTAAGTAACTTCTAGTTCGTATGCAAACCATGTTAAAGAACACAAAACTAATATTCCATAAAATCGGAATTCATGTGCCCATTTCAAAGGGAAAAAAACTGAAAAAGTATTCTCCTCTTTCGGTATGCTCCAGAAGTAAGTGTTTGTGTGCGTTTAAGGCGCTTCAAGCAGAGCCAATTGAAGCGGCATCAAGATCTTCATAAAACGCAACCAAGTTTTGCTGCAGATTTCAACAAAACAAATAAATGTGATAATCTTAAATCGTTTGCCCGCAGCTACAAAACATTAAATGAGACATTTTAGTTTTTGAGTTTTGTCGTGAGTTTGTTTAACTTGCGTGATGAAGTGAGTCAAAGCTAAAATTAGAAAATACGCAGTGAAGTCAGTCGTACATATTTGGCATATAATACTTTTATATAGAAACGTTTGAATCAGATTGGAAGGCAAATGGTTATTAGTATCTTCGCGTTGTGTGGAATCGCCCTTTCGGTGCTAGGGGGTGTAATTTGCTTTCTTAAGGACTTTTTCCAACATTGTTTGATTTGTTAGAAGAATTCGTAATTTCAGACTCGATTATCCATATTTCGATTTGACTTTATTTAGATAATGAACACTTTCCTTTCGATAAATGCATGGCCTGGAGAGTTTTTAAAGTGGTGAAATTGGTTTGAGATGTTCTAGGTCGCTAGAATTCACTGAAGATAACGTCAGCTTTCTCGCCAAATTTGAACAAGTTCATTTACTCAGAATTCTAAAAATAATCACTAATTCATATTAAATTCCGGTTGAAACGTGATTTAAGGACAAATGAGTACGAAAACATTAGCCAATAATGATGCTTGGCTGACTGCATTTGTTGAATGAGCTGACGAACGATGGCTAAGAGCGAGATTTTCCGAAAATAAATGGGGTAAGCGGACGGATCGATTTTTGGTTAGATGGCTTCAGACGCTTCGGCGACGGCCATGGCTTCAATTGGTTGTGCGCTACGTTTGGTTGTGTGCGTGATAATGTTATTGACTATCAGCAGACGTCAGCGTACAGAGCTTAATCGCCATAGTACTTGCGAGTGTATTGAGAACAACAACTACAATAACAAAGATTAATTCAGAGGAAATTGAAACAGTAGCAAGCTTATGAACGAGCCAAGCGGCAGTAGAATTGCATGGAAGAAGGGGTGTATAATATATTATTGATATAAACAACAGTTATAATAACAGCACATAGCTCGGTTGTACAAACTGGATGTATTTTATGTATGTGTTTGTGTTTAAAGTAAATTAGTTATTTGCTTTATCTTAATCACATTGTTGACACAAAATGCGAAAATCCCTTCAGATACTGCATTGTTGTTGTTGGCCAGCTATTGATAACGCACAGTAGTTTTGTTTTTGTATCGCTTGGTTTTGTGTTAGCTGTTGCATAATCACACACTCATTGCTGGCAAGGCGAGGCGGGTAACGGATGATGCTGAGCAAGGCGGAGTGGGGCCAGTAATGATGCTGGTGATGGCTGTGCGGAACAATTGATGTGTGACGGTCGGTTTGACCCACGTTAGCGTTGACACGATGGCATAAATGCTGCACAGAAAGGATGACTGTTGAGTGGTTTCCATTTAATGCTCAACTTTTTTCTTGTCGCCTAGTCGGAGAGTGTATATGTGGAATTTGACGTTGATCGCTGGAGTTCGTTGAAATGTGCGGCTTACTAGTGGACACGGTTATGCGTCAGTGGAGCAGACATTTTTGAGAAATTGCCATTTAAGCAGCGTTGACAAGTTGAGGCGCTGAAAATTATGGTCAGCAGGTGTGATTGTAGTATTTTGAGACCGTCTGGAGGAATACCGCTAGTGCTTGCTTTGCACGTTACTTATTTTTTCATAATCAATAAATCATGCAGACATGTGTGTGATTATCGAGAGCAGGCGACCACTCATTGAGAGTGAACTGACGACCCGAACACACATTTGTGCTGCCTTAAATTTGAACCGTTTGGTCAGTTGCTTGACCTTTTTACAAAATTTGTGTGCTTTTTTGTGGACTTTTGCGCACTTATCCACTGCCAATGTGTGCCCAGAAAATGCCCTTGGCGAATGTAATAAATTCCTTTCGGTTGTACAGCCGAAGCTAAATTTGGCAGCTCACAATATTTTTGACATTTTCTTACCCACGTTTAAGGTAATGCCAGAGTCATCGACACGTGAGTGCTCATTGGGGAAAAAACAAAAAAAAAAAAAAACAAAAAATAAAAAAATAAACAAAAAACACGAAAAAGGGAAAAAGAAAAATTTCAGTTAATATTTTGAAATATGTTAACCCTTCTTTGTTGGGAATTATTACTCCGATTGCCTGTGGGCCGGTTACTCATACGTCATGTTGTACGCCGCATGAGCAGATGTCTTATAATAACACAATTACACATCCCACATACATATGTGTGTACATGTGCTGGCATTCGCTGGAGCTTATACCTTCATTTGGGGTCTTCATTTCACTGCACACACACACACACACACACGCGCGCATACAGACATATGTACGTATATCATGTAAGCGCATGCCTGGTTGCATGCATATTGGTTGTAAGCACATTCCTGAGGCTTCCTCGAGCTCATGTGTGCGCGTGTGTGGCGTCCCCTAGTGCCGTTGCGGAAACACATTGTCCATTTGTGTTCAGTGAAATGCAAATTATTTATGGTCATTTGGTTTTTCATGGAAAAATAATATGTCGCATCTATCGTTTAGGAAAGTACCTTGTACATGGTAGACCCATATGTGCTTGTGTATGTATGTATGTCTGCAGCGTTTCGGTGTGAAATGGAATATGGCAGGAACGCTCGCATACAGACACACATACACTCAACATGGACACTCTTATCTGAGGCAACGTGGTGCGTTTATTTGTTGATATTCTTCACTGTAAATATTAATTTTTGCATAGTTTAAGATTGAATATTAAAGTTTTGAATATTAGTTTGGCGATTTGAAGCATTTTACTATTTTTGTGTTTTCTTTGAATTGAAAAGCTGATTTATCCCAAGTAATTTATAATATGTCGTGTTGTTTGTTTGCATCGGGAATCAATGGAGTTATGACACGTGTGGGCTCTAAGGCAACTGAATGCTTTGATTACTAAAATTACAGACGTTTCTGAGATATTATAAAGCAATATATACACATAGGTATCCCGAAATACATTCTGAGCGGCAGTTGTACCATTGAATGTGATTGTATGATCAATGAGGGTGGAGAGCTTTTAGGAGGAGGTATGTGGTGCTACATGTTTCTTTATATATTTTTAGATATGCGTAGCTTAGG